AATAGAGATAAATTAAAACATTAAGAAAAATGGGCAGGGGAACAGACACCTCTCAAGAAGACATACAAATGGCCAACAAATATGTGAAAAGATGCTCAGCTTCACTAGCTATCAGGGAAATGCAAATACAAACTACAATGAGGTACCACCTCACACCTGTTAGAATGGCTGTGCTCAACGAGACAAGTAGTAACAAGTGTTGGGGAGGCTGTGGGGAAAAAGGGGCCCTCACTCCCTGCTGGTGGGAATGTGAACTGGTGCGGCCACGATGGAAGACAGTGTGGGGCTCCTCAAAATACTAAGAATAGCCTTACCTCATCACCCAGCAACCCCTCTTCTGGGAACCTACCCCCCAAACTGCAAACATTTACTCGCGAATATACACGCACCCCTATGTTCACTGCAGCATTGTTCACTGTGGCCACATGGAAACAACCCCAGCCCTTTGACAGACGATTGGATAAAGAAGATATGGTACATGCATGTTATGGAACGCTACTCAGCCACAAGAAAAGATGAAATACTGCCATTTGCGACAACATGGATGGATCGTGAGAATATCACGCTTGACAGAAAAAGTCAAGAACCTTATGATTTCACTCATATGTGGGATATAAATCTGAAAGCAACAAGTGAACAAACAAGAAAAACAGACAGGAAGGTATAGACACAGACAATGGTAGGTGGTTACCAGAGGGAAGGGGGTGGGGGCTAAAGGGTAGAGGGGGTAAAATATACGGTGATGAAAGATTATTTGGCTCTGGGTGGTGGGCACACAATGCAATATACAGATGGTATATCATAGAAATATGCACTTGAAACCTATATAATCTTATTAACCAATATCATCCCAATAAGTAGAATTTTTTAAGCCTAATTAACATCATCAGAGAGAGTAAAGAAGCAAATGATGAAAAAACAAGACCGAAATAACAGAGAGAGAACAGAATCACACAACAGAAAGTTCCTGAAATTAAAAATAAATCACTAGTAGGTAATTAGAACTGAAAGACAAAGATGAAAAGCTAATTATAAAAATAGAATAAGATATAAGGTGGGAAGTGATAATTAAAAGATAATACAATTAGCTCCAATCTAGGACATTTGAAAACCACGTATTAAAAATTTCATAAGGACTGAACAGAAAAACACAAGGTAGGAACTCATCAGAGAATAAATACAAGGCGTCTAGTCCTGAAAATGAAAAGACTCATCTCAATACATTAGTGTGAAATTTCATAACACCAAGGAAAAGACAAAAATCTGAATATTGTCATAAAAAATCCTATCACATATGAAAGGGGTGATATATGCATCTTCCTGTTTTACAGGCTGGGTCGGATGCTAGAATATGATAGAAAACACTTTCAAAATATTGAAGAAAAAAGTAAAAGAGCACTGTGAACCTAGGCAAGCTATAAATTTGGTGAAGAGGCAAGAGAAATTTTCAAACCCAGAAAGAATAATAAAATTATTTTTCTAACCATCTTTTTTTTTTTTTTTTAGCAAAATGATGTTGCTTAGTGACAAATTATTAACTCTACCATTCTCTACCGTAACTCTAACATCCCTACCATTCAAACTTGCTGACAGTTATTACTTAAAAATTAGTTGCCTGGCTCTCCTGATGTGTTATGTGGTGAGTGTTAACATGGAATCAACCAAATCCATGCTACAAAGATTTTTGTTATTCATATTATGTTTTAAAGATCTCTCTGGTTATCATAGTTTTATACAATCAATATTTAAATTGTTTAATGAACTTTATATAATTCTAACTGCAACTTAAGAGTCAAGAAGTTTTAGAAGAAACTTATATAATACCAAGAGCAACAAGTTAATTTTACCAAGAGAGGAAAAGAGAAGGAGACTAAGTTGTTTGCCCCATATGACATTCCCAGCTAGGGATAGAATTTGGTACAAAAGCAATTTTAGATTATTTTGAGTATATCACCTTTTCAGTCTTATGTGTTGATGGAATACTTTGAGCACAATTAAGGTTACATTATATATATATATAACATACATATGTAAAATATAATTTATAGGTATATATTTCTGTGAAAGTAAACATTCAATATAAAAAGTAATTACAACATAACATATTGTTAATGGCCAAAATTCCCCACGTTAAGTTCTAAACATTTTTATATTGCTTAATGCCTGCATGAAGGCCAGTGACTGTTATTCCAAATAAAAAAGGGATTCTGAAATATTTCAAGTATTGAAACATTAGGTCTAGTGCCTTTTGTAGTGTAAAAGGTATCCTATAATACTTCCAATTTATGAGAACCAAAGGCCTCTTTTCACCATATCATTCCTCTGGTTTCCCCTTGTACCTGAAATTATTTCCATTCAAGGTTATGTTTTGTTTTTCAAATGTTGGATTGCTTTTTGTAAATCAAATACTTAAAAACATTTCTATTAACATCTGTGTGGTTGTTATGGGCTGAATTGTGTATCCCTCAAATCTGCATTTTGAAGTCCAAACCCCCAGGACCTCAGAACTGACTGTAATTGATGAGAGGGCCCTTAAACAGTTAAAGTCAAAAGAGGTCATGTGAATAGGCTCCACCTGACCTGTGTTCTTAAAAGAAGAGGAATCAGCAGTGATGCAGAAGGATGGCCGTCAACAAGCCGCAGAGAGGCCCTTAGAAGAAGCCAGCTCTGCGGACACCTTGGTCTTGGGCCTCCCTCCAGACCCACGAGGAAATAAAGTTTGGCTGTTCCAGCTACCCAGCCTGTGTGCCAGGCGCTCTTATGGAGCCCTAGTAATGATGCAGCGGTGTAGGAAATAAAAGATGGAGATACCAAAAAAATAAAAAATAAAAGCTTATTAGTTTGGAGAAAAGACCCACCATTTTTATGTTTGTTTAGTATCTCAGTCCCATGGTTTACAATGACCTCGCCCTCCCAAGTTTTCTCCATGCCACCATTTTTCTGCGGGATCACTGTGCAGCAGCAGTTAGATTCTCTAGCAGGATGCAAGACGCAGTAATTCCTGGCAAGAGCTTACTGGTCAGCCCAAAGCGATCTTGCATTTTAAACTTCTGGAAAGGAAAATGCATCGAATCACATTGCTACGGAAAACCCAGTAGGTGCCTTAATTTTTTCTCTGGTATGGTTATGATATCACCGGCTTTTTTTTTAAAAAAAAAAACAACAAAAATTCCCAAAGCATAATATACTGCAAATGATTAGGCTACATGAATATTCTAATGCCGTTCCCAGGACTGGCACAACGGGAGTGCTGAGGCGGGGGAGGGAAAGGAGTTCAACAGCTGCTCCTGAGAGAGACAAGGCAAGTATGAGACACCAAGGGGGTGGGATGGGACATGCAGGTTCACAGGGCAAAGCGGCCGCACAAAATTATTAGTTACATCTTTTTGAAGTAAGCACTTAATAAAGAATGGGACTGAATATAAGCAGCTGCCTATATTATTCAGATTTCTCCCTGTTTTCCCCATGTGTGAATTTTTATTTTCACAACTTTGCAAATATAAATATATTCATAAATATTTCATAAATAGCTAGAGATGATGGATGGATCAGGATGGATCTATAAGCAATTTTTATTTTTTTCTCATATATAGTTTCAATATTTCAGTAGTCACTTGTATACTTGTAAGTTTGTTAAGTACATTTCTAGCTAGTGTACAGTTCAGTTGAAAATAACGCATGTGTGTAGTTTATCTGAATGCTTTAAAATCAAATATTTCTTAGAAGTCTGTATCAAATTAAACAGTGAAGTTCTTTACAAAGGAGTTGTAGGGATAATTTATATTGAAATTATTGTAGATAACAGGATAACACAGCATCTCTGAGCCTCAATATAATAAGTGCTCACAAAGTTGAAACCCATGTGAATCAAATAAGTAAATCAACTGCCTAATTTTGCACTTGGTTCATTTTAGGTGTCAGTTATTAGTTCAATATTCTGACTTCTCTGATATTATTTTGTTCAGTATTGTACAATAAATAATTTTTAGGCATGCTATACTTGCATCTTGTATTATTTGATATGTATTCTATTTTCTTTGGTCATCAAATAATCACTAGATTGTAAGAAATTCTGAGTAGCTGATAATGGATATATTTTCATGTTTAAATTAATGGCGTTTTTTCCCCCAAAAAAGTTTTCATAGAAACACAAAGTTGGATCTATGAATGAAGACTTCCATGACCTGGTCACCTGTTAAAACCAACCTTCCACACACCAGCGCAGTATTAAAAACAAAACCAGTATTTATTTTAATACGGAGTTTCAGCCCTGAGGCCTCTCTTTATAAAGAGGGATTTTGTAAAATTTCATTTTTTAAAAGTTTATTTTTCTGATAAAAAGCAACATTTTAATGAATAGCTTTGACATGAAGTAATGTTAAGATCAGACATCGCTTTTAAAATTCATGACTTACATGTTGAATTTAACATCGCATTTATTTCCATTTTCTGGAAGGGTGGGGAAAACGAATGTGTTTCGGCATACAGCTGGAAAAAACTCTGAATGAGAAGAAGATGGAGTTCAGAAAGTATCCTGCAAAGGAATCAGCAGCCGGCGTGCTATTGCTCCGCGACGGCCCAGCACCGTCCTCGCGCCCCGGGTCCGAGTCCTGCGCGTCACCACAGCGGAGTGCACTGGACACCGCTTCAAACGGTAAGAGTTTCAATAGGCACTTTAGTGGAATTAAGAAAAACCTAACACTCTTCCACCGCGATGCCACAGAGCTCTCTTCCTTCGGGTTGCCAGGTCAGTACATTGGATTCGATGGGCCTGAGCGCGTCTCAGTGTATTTCCAAAATGGCAAAACGAAACCGAGCGAGGACACAGGGGGGCTGGATCTCCTGCGGGCGGAATAAACCGAAAGTGACGCTGGGATAAACAGAGCGGCTCGCCGGAAACCAGCTGCCCCAAGGACGCGTGTCCTCTAAAGCCCGCGCGCGTGCGTGCGCGTCCGTCCGCGTGTTTTCCCTTAAACGCCCGCCGAGAGCCGGGCTCCGGCCTAAGTGCCCCCGTCGGGGCGGCGCCCCTCCTCCTCCCCGAACAGGTCGGCCAGGACCCTGAAGCGCGGCCCCCAGTCGGCGAGGAAGCCGAAGTCCTGGT